ACTCCGCTGGACCCCGTGCAGCCCTCGAAAGTGGCGACAGTTTTGCAGATCGCAACCCGAGATGGCGAGGTGTCATTTGAATCTGGGTACGGCGTCACTCCGCTGGACCCCCCAGCAGCTTTCGATAGTGGCGACCGTTTCGCTGATCGCAGCCCCGTAGGGATGGCGAGGTTTCATCTGTATCTGGGTAAGACGTCACTCCGCTGAACCCCCCAGCTGCCTTGGAGAGTGGCGACAGTTTCACCGATTGCAGCCCCCCAGAGATGGCGAGGTCTCACCTGGATCCGTGAATTACGTCTCTCGATGGACCCCCCAGCGGCCATAACAAGTGGCGACCGTTTCGCAGATCGCAGCCCCGCGGGGACGGCGAGATCTCATCTGTATCTGGGTAAGACGTCACTCCGCTGGACGCCGCAGCAGCCCTCGAAAGCGGCGACTGATTCGCAGATCGCAACCCCCAAGGGATGGCGAGGTCTCATCTGAATCTGGGTAAGATGTCATTCCGCTGAACCCCCCAGCAGCTTCTAAAATGGCGACAGTTTCTCAGATCGCAGCCCCCCAGGTACGGCCAGGTAGGAGGCGATCTGGCACGCAGGAAAGAGCGAGGTGAGAGGCAGGAGGGAAGGGGAGAGGGGGCGGGAAGGAAGGAAGGTGTGCGACCACAGTGCTCGATTCAAAACGAGTACCCAACGCAGGAGGGCCGGGGAAAAAACAGCGCGTACAAAAACACTGCGTAACCAAAGACACGGCATACAAAAAACATTGCGTAAAATTACCCAGGGACGTTCACACGGCGTCGCTCTTAAGAGTCAGATCGTTGGCAGGAAGGCGGCCACGAGGGAGTGCGGAGACACGCTAAGGAGAGACGATTGGAGACAGAATTCGTGGGAGCAGCGACGCTGGACCCCCAACGTCGTAACCCAGCCCCCAAGAGGACGGCGAGGTTTCATGGTGACCTGCGTAAGACGCACCTCTGTTGGGGCCCCCAGGAGCCCGCGAACGTGGCAACAGTTTCCCAGATCGCAGCCCCCCAGGGGACGGCGAGGTCTCGGGGTGATCGGCGTAAGACACACTTCCGCTGGGCCTCCCAGGAGCTAACGAACGTGGCGACAGTTTCGAAGATCGCGGCTCCCTAGAGGACGGCGATGTTGCATGGTGATCTGCGTAAGGCGCACCTCCGCTTGGCCTCCAAGGAGCCCACGAAAGTGGCGACCGTTTCGCAGATCGCAGCCCCCCAGAGAACGGCTAGGTTTCATAGTGATTCGCGCAAGGCGCACCTCCGCTGGGCCTCCCAGGAACACACGAAAGTGGCGGCGGTCTCGCAGATCGCAGCCCCTCAGGGGGCGGAGATGTCTCGTGGCGACCTGCGCAAGACGCACCTCCGCTGGACCTCCCTGGAACCCACGACAGTTGCGACAGTTTCGCAGATCGCACCGCACCCCAGGGACGGCGAGGTCTCATGGTGATCTGCGTAACAGGCACCTCCGCTGGGGCCCCCAGGAGCCCACGAAAACGGCGACTAATTCGCAGATCGCATCCCACCAGGGGACGGCAAGGTTGCATGGTGACCTGCGTAAAACGCGCCTTTGCTGGGGCTCCCAGGATCCGCCCCCCCGAAAGCGGCGGCAGTTTCGAAGATCGTAACGCCCCAGGGGACGGCGAGGTTTCATGGTGATCTGCGTAACACGCACCTCCGCTGGGGCTCCCAGGAACCTACGAAAGTGGCGACAATTTCGCAGATCGGAACACCACATGGGGACGGCGAAGTCTCATGGTTATCTGCGTAAAACGCACCTCCTTTGCCCCCCCCCACACACACACACACACACACACGGCGAGGTCCCATGGTGATTTTCGTAAAACGCACCTCCGCTGGGCCCCCCCAGAAGCCCACAATCAAAAGTGGCGACAATTTCGCAGATCGCAGCCCCCCAAGGGGACGGCGAGGTTTCATGGTGACCTGCGTAAGACGCACCTCTGTTGGGGCCCTCAGGAGCCCGCGAACGTGGCAACAGTTTCCCAGGTCGCAGCCCCCCAGGGGACGGCGAGGTCTCGGGGTGATCGGCGTAAGACACACTTCCGCTGGGCCTCACAGGAGCTAACGAAAGTAGCGGCAGTTTCGAAGATCGCGGCCCCCTAGAGGACGGCGATGTTGCATGGTGATCTGCGTAAGGCGCACCTCCGCTTGGCCTCCCAAGAGCCAACAAAAGCGACGATAGTTTCGAAGACCGCAGTTCCCCAGGGGACGGCGAGGTCTCATGGTGATCTGCGTAAGACGCACCTCCGCTGAGCTTCCCCAGAGCCAACGAAAGTTGCAAGTTTCGCAGATCGCAGCCCCCCAGGGGACGGCGAGGTCTTGTGGTGATCTGCGTAAGACGCACCTCCGGTGTGCCTCCCAGGAGCTCACGAAATTGGCGTCAGTTCCGCAGGTCGCAGCCCCCCAGGGGACGGCGAGGTATCGTGGTGATCCTCGTGATGCGCACCCACCTCCGCTGGGCTGCCCAGGAACACACGAAACTGGCGACAATTTCGCAGATCGCAGCACCCCCCCCACCCCAGGGAACGGTGAGGTCCCATGGTGATCTGCGAAACACGCACTTCCGTTGGGCCTCCCATGAACCAACGAAAATGGCGACAGTTTCGCAGATCGCAGCCTTCCTGGGGACGGCGAGGTCCCGTGGTGATCTGCGTAAGACGCACCTCAGCTGGGCCCCCCCAGAAGCCCACAATCAAAAGTGGCGACAATTTCGCAGATCGCAGCCCCCCAAGGGGACGGCGAGGTTTCATGGTGATCTGCGTAAAACGCACCTCCGCTGGGCAGCCCAGGCGTCCCACGAAAGTGGCAACAACTTCGCAGATCGCAGCCCCCCAGGGGACGGCGAGGTCTCATGGTGATCTGCGTAAGACGCACCTCCGCTGAGCCCCCCCCCAGGAGCCCACACAAGTGGTGACAGCTTCGCAGATCGGAGCCCCCCCCAGGGGACGGCGAGGTCTCATGGTGATCTGCGTGAGACGCGCCTCGATTGGGCCTCCCAGGAGTAGCGACAGTTTCGCAGATTGCAGCCCCCCAGGGGACGGCGAGGTCTTGTGGTGATCTGCGTAAGACGCACCTCCGCTGGGCCTCCCAGGAGCCCACGGCACCTCCGCTGCGCAAGTGACGACACCCGAGCGAGCCGCGGACACGAGGCAGGACGCAGGCGGGAGGAGAGAGGGAGAGGACGGAGCAGGGATGAGGCAGGAGGAGGAGGAGGAGGAGGAGGAGGAGGAGGAGGAGGAGGAGGAGGAGGAGAGGAGGAGGAGGAGGAGGAGAGGAGGATGGGGCAGACAGTGCTCTAGTCAAAACGAGTACCCAGCCAAGGGAGGGTTGGGAAAAACACTGAGTAAAAACACTGCGTGGAAAACAATGCGTTAAAACACTGCGTAGGCACACACCTGGCGTTACGTAAAAAGAAAAGCACAGCGTTAAAACACACTGCGTAAACGAAAACACTGCGTTGAATAGACTGCGTTAAGCACACACTGCGTAAACAAAGCACGGCGCTAGAAACACAGCGTTTAAAGCATTGGGTTAAAAATGCGTAGAAATTCATTGCCTAAAAGCCATTGCGTAGATGAAATCAATTCATGTTTGAGACTAACCCTCCCTTCACACTCAATGCGCCTCGCTTGCCCAGTTGACTGGTCGGGACCATGCTTGGTCCGAGCGTGGCTCGGGCGTGTGCATTGGCTAGGGCCCCCCTGGGCGCTGCCATTCTGGCTGGCCAGCCTCCCCCGCTGCATCCTATCCCATCCTCTCCCTGCGCCGCTGCCGTCACGACAAGGAAGGCAGGGAATTATTCGTAGCGGCCAGGTTTAGTCTGAGCGTGTAGCTCGGGGCGTGCGCAGTGGCTAAGACCCCACGGGGTGCTGCCATTCCGGCTGGCTAGCCTCGCCTTCTGCCTCCCATATTTTCCTCGCGAACATCTACCCATCATATTCCTTCTCATATTCTCCTCGCTCCTCGCTTGCCCAGTGGATTTACATTTGGCACGTTGAGTGTTGGTTGACAGGCATCTGGCGACGAAAACCGCGAACAAAACAAGAGCCCACTTGCTGAGTCCCACAAAATTTGTGAGATCTCTGCCAGTGTCGCTTTCAAAAGTGATCTCAAGAATCTTGATGTGATGTTCCAAAGCGACAGGGCCGATTCCGATCCCATCCCCGTTCCAGAACTCCAGAGTCTTAGGCGAGGGCATGATGTCCGAGGCCATGTTCTTTCGAAGCGGGGGGAGGAAGTGAGTCTGTCATGGTGGTGGGGGTAGGCTCGCCGTGAGGGAGGTCTTGTCACAGACCTGCGGGGGACCCCGTTTTGGTGCTCGTGCTGCCCATCCTACGCAGGATGAGAGGATCACGAATGACCTCGCTTGGTTTTCCAAGTGTGCTGTGCGATGCGAATCCGGGGTCTATCAAATAGCCCAGAAATAATTTGTCGGTAGGCCCGTGTCAGGACGCTCCATGAATTATACGTGTTGGTATATAATTGAAGGGCAGGGGCCAAGCGGAGAGAGAACATGGATGGCTCCCATCGGTCCCTCACTCTCCAGGCTCCGAGGCAAGCCTGAGGCTTCCTTGGCCCTCGCCGCACCAGCTTCCTGCCCAGTCCGTCCGGCTGCTCGTTGCTGTCGCCCTGGGGCCTTGGAGCCCTCCTTCGGGCGGGGGGGGGCCAGGACGAAGATAAATCCGTTCCAGAGCGTTCCGGAACGCTCTCGGAGCGTTCTGGAACGCTCTGAGAAGGCCGCGGCGCCCGAGGCATCCTCCAGAGCCGCCAGCTCTCAGAGAGTCTCGACTTCTCCTCACCCGAATCTATCCTCGACCTGGCTTCGTCTTACTCCTCCGCCCCATCCCTCTGCAGCCATCCGAGCCAGCAGATCCTGCAATGAAGACCACCGGCGCGCACGAGTGACGCGCGCGCGCGGCCGCCTTCGGAGGCCGCGCACGAGTGCCCGCGCCCGCCTCGCGCGATGCGGCCGCCCCTCGCGCTGCTGCTTGCCTGCGCGCTGTGCCCCGGCTGCAGGCGCCGAGGGGCCGCGGCCACGGCGGCCTCGCTGACGTCGCTGGCGGCGAGGGAGCGGCGGCACACGCGCGGCGCTGCGCGCCGCGCCGGAGCGCAGCCGCCCGCAGCGCCGCCCGCCGCCGCGGAGGCCGCTCAGGCGCCGCGCCCGCACGCGGGCGCGCCTGGCGAGATGGCGATGGGCGAGGCCCGGGCTGTACGGTCGGACCGAGGTATTTCCACCAGAAAGGTAGGTCTCGGTCTCTCTCTCTCTCTGTCTCTCTCTCTCTCTCTCGATCTCTCTCTAGACATGTGTGTGTATGTATGTATGTATGTATGCATGTATGTATGTATGTATGTATGTATGTATGTATGTATGTATGTATGTATGTATGCATGTATGCATGTATGCATGTATGTATGTATGTATGTATGTATGTATGTATGTATGTCTGTGTGTGTATGTCTGTGTGTGTATGTATGTATGTATGTATGTATGTATGTATGTATGTATGTATGTATGTATGTATGTATGTATGTATGTATGTATGTATGTATATATTTATATATTCACACACTATACCCCAAAGGCCCTGGGGGTGGGCGAGGTTCCTGGTCGTGGGTTGGGTATACAAAATGCCCTCCCTGTGGCTTGGTTTTTGTATACTAAACGTGGCCCAAGGCGGTGGAATCTGCTTGAGGTGGGAATGATGTGGTATACAAAAAACTCGAGGAGTATAGGATCGAAGTCCTTCGTGGAGGGTGCGCTAATGTTCTTCGTGCTTGTTTCTTGTTCTTGTGATTTCTTGTGTATCCCAGGGGAGGTTACGCTCGAATGCTCTTCAGTTTGGCCGGCGGAGGGCCTCATGTTTTTGAAGGATGTTCTTCTGTCCTAGGTCCGACCGTAAGAGACGGGGGTCAGTGCAAGCGAGGGCCAGCCAGAGCGCCGGATCTTGCAGGATCCTGCAGAGCCAGGGCTGCACTGACCTGGGCTAGGGCGCAGGAGCCTGCAGGATCCTATAAAGCCCGACTGATCCGGGCTTGGATTGACCCCAGCCAGTAGATCCCGAGAGGCCCTGGAGCGGGTCCCTGCCGGCCTCGCGAGCAGGTTCGCGAACCTCACCGGCAGCCGCGGGGCGGAGGACGCGGAGCTCCAGGGCGTCCTGTCCCAGCTGAGCGGCGTCTATCTTCACGCCCTGCAGGAGGCCGACAACGTCACGCTCGCCTGCGAGGACGGGCGGGCCGCGTCCGAGCGCGCGGTGAAGGACGCCCGCGATGGCCTCAAGGAGGTGGAGCGCCAGTTGACTCTGCAACAGGACCGTATGCACAGACTGCAGGCCAGCGCGGACCGCTGCCTCGCTGACGCAGAGGCGCTCCGCGTGCAGTTCCTGGCCGAGCGCACCAGGTGCGAGCAGAGCAGGCAGCGCCAGCGAGAGTCCCTGAGCGTGCTGCAGCACGACGCGCCTCTGCTGCGCGGGCTCGTGGCGAGGGCGACTGGCAGCTGCGGTCCGTCTGGAGGGAGCCCGCCGCCGCTGGTGCAGTGCCTCGGCTCGGACGGCGCCCTGAACATCACGTTCGCCGACGCGGACCTCCGGGCCGCGGTCGCCAGGCTCGGCGGCGCCGCGCAGCGGGCCGTGTCCACCCACCTGGACCGATCCGTGCAGCGGCGCGGGCCGCCGCAGCGGCTCAGCATTACACCCACGGCTGGGGTCGAGGCGGATATCATGATGCTGATGACGAACAGGTCGAGGGCTCGCCGCGGGGCCCACAGGAAGAGATCCGCGCACCGCCGTAGGCACCGGCACCGGCACCGCCACGGCCACGGGAAGAGGGACCATGGCCTGGCCTTCATCACGAAGGGCGTGAGGCGCGAGCGCGCGGGCGGCCCAGCCTCCGCGGCAGCAGCGGCGGCCTGCAGCGCGGTGCCCCCGCCGTCATGCGAGGGCCTCGCCGACTGCCTCGCGACGGCCGCGGGCTCCTTAGAGGACCTGATCAGCGAGGTGAGCGTGCAGGCGGAGGCCGAGGACAGCCGTTGCCGACGGACCCTGGAGGACCACGAAGGGCAGGTGAAGGCCCTCACGCGTCAGGCGGACGACGCGGGCGTCGAGCTGGCCAACGCCGCCGCGGAGCTCAGCGACTTGGAGGCGTTGCGTCGCGAGAGGCGGGCGCAGGTGCGAGACGTCACCGCCGAGCAGGCTCAGGACGCCGACGAGTGCGTGAAGCACCTCGCGGACGCCTCGTCCGCGATGCTGGCCACGCGGGCCCTTCGCGAGAGGCTGCGCCGCGACGGCGCGGAGGGCAGCTTCGTCGGCGACTGCGAGGTCACCGGCTGGGTCCGCGGGCCGTGCTCGGTCCCTTGCGGCGCTGGCGGCGTGCAGGCGCTGCATCGCAGCATCGTGGTGGCGCCCCACGGCGCGCGGCTCGGCGAGGAGGCCCCAGAGTGCCCTCCCCTGCAGCTCGGTCGCGCGTGCAACGAGGTGCCCTGCCCGGTGGACAGCGAGATGGGCCGCTGGCAGGAGTGGTCTGCCTGCTCCCGCGCCTGCGGCGGCGGCACGAGGACGCGGCGGCGCACCGTGGCGAAACAGGCCCAGCACGGCGGCCTCCCGGCCGGCGAGACGATGCAGGAGCAGACTTGCAACCTGGAGCCCTGCGACCGGGACTGCGAGCTGGCGGCGTGGGGCGCCTGGGCTGCATGCAGCAAGGCTCAGCGCCGTCTAACCGACCCCCATCCCCATTAGACCATGGCATCCCAGCCCTACCAGCCCCCCCCCACCCAGCCCGAGCCCGAGCTCGAGTCCGAGCGGCAGCCCCGAGCGGCAGCCCGAGTCCGAGCGAGTCGGCCAGGGGGGCCACGGCCATGCTAGCGGGGATGGCAGGGCTCGACCTGAGCGGTGTTTCAGCGATCCCCTGGACCGGTTTCGCTCCGACCTCGCTTTGCAGCAGAGGCGGAGCGAAGGCAACACGATGGGGAACACGAAAACATGACGAAAACGCGCTCAGGTCGAGCCCTGGGGGATGGGGATGGGCAAGCGATGCTCAAAGGCATGCGGCGGAGGGCACCAGGTGCGCACCCGCCAGGTGCTCCGGGCCGCCCTCGGGGGCGGCGCTTGCCCTCCGCCGGAGGACCCGCAGCGGCAGCAGACCGCCGGTTGCGGCCCGCAGGCCTGCGCCGCCTCGCCGCCGCCGAGGTGCGCCTCGCGCCTGGACCTGGTGCCGCAAGCAGTGGCGAAGCCTATAGGCCCACCACGGAATGTTCTGGGAAGCTGTCGCGGTTTGCACGACTGTTCTGGGAGCATCTATGGCCGAGACCGTCTTGTTTGAACGCATCGGGTTGATGTTCTAAGAACATGGTTTGACTATCAGAAGATTATTCGGTTCTAAGGACGGTAGGCCTATAGGAATGCCGGGACGGTCGGTCCCTGCTCAAGGTGCTCGCGCTCGACTCGTCGGGGAGCGTGGGCGCACCCGGCTTCCACCACGCCAGGCGTTTCGCCCAGGCTGTCGTGTCCCGCTTGGGACTGGAGGACGGCTGCGCCCAGGACCCGGGGAGGGTGAGGCAGGCATGGCCCCAAGGTTCGGGGAGCGCTTCCTGAGCGGCATTGCTTGAAACTGCTGGGTATTGCATCTCTTTGCTTGGTACTGCAGTGATTTGCAGTGATGTGCATTGCTTGGCGTTGCTTGGCATTCCTGAGCATTGCATGGCATTGCTTGGCGTTTCTGTGCGTTGCTTGGCATTGCGTTGTCCCGATGCCGCTGCTCGTCCTGGAAGTCCCTCGTCGCCGCGGCTGGATTCTCCTTGACACCCCGGTGAGAACGCACCCTTGGAAAGATCTGGGGAGAAGCGAGGAGCGGTGCTGCTACGTTTTTGCCCCCCCCCCCCCCCGCCCAGGACGCCCGGGCGGCGTCGGCCTTGGCGCAGGTCGGGATTGTAGACTTCGGCAGCCTCGCGCGGAGCGCGCAGGTGCTTTAGCTGCCTCGATAAGCCGGCGGTACGTGTTTAAAGCGTCCGTGTCAATACGCGTGTTGGCTCAGCGTATTGGTTCACGCTTTGGCGAACGTCTCGCGTCAGACCTGCGTGTTCAGTCTACGTGTTGAGCTCCACATCGCTACGCTGCGTGTTGCGTGTTGCGTATCGGGGCAGCTAATCGCAGGTGCCCACCAGCTGCAGGGCCGCCCTCAACGCGAGCCTGGAGGCGCTCCAGTGGCAGGGCACGGCCACGAACACCGGGGAGGCGCTGGCACTCGCTGGCGAGCTCCTGGACCGCCACGCGAGGCCGGGCGCGCGCCGCGCCGTCGCGGTCGTCACGGACGGCGATCGGCTCCGCGTGAAAGTGACCCTTCGCTGGTGTGACCTTTGGTGCTCTAGGCCTCCCAGATGGGGTCGGGGTAGATGGAGTCCGAGGATCGCGCCGCATCGCCGATGCATCGCCGCTGCGGCTCGATGTGGAGCCCGATGTGCTGTGCTTCACGTCGACGTTGCCGATGCATCGTCCACGATGCGTCGCCGGTGCATCCCCGATGCGTCGCCGATGCATCGCTGATGCATCAGGGATGCGGCACGATCCTCCGCCCACAGGTGTGCGGCTTTGAGCGGCGCGGGGTGGCCAACCCTGAAGCAGACATGCCATGTCTTGTTTTTTCAAAAGCGGTCCTTGGAAGAAGTCCCGACCCTTTCCCCCATGCCGGTTTTTCATCCCGAGTGTGTTTTTGACAGTTCTGGAGCCTGGCGAGGGCTCCTGAGAGCTGGAAACGGCCAAAACCCTCCCGTCGGGATTCTTTCGCGCCGCGAGCATGTCATGCAACGATCGACAGGCCGGGCACCAAAGGTCACTCTTGCCTACGGCCACTCATGCGTGCAGCCGAGGCGAGCCCGTGAGCACCTACATCGCGCGGACGGAGGCCGAGAAGCTCCGGCAGCGCGGCGTGCGCGTTGCTGTCGTCGCGGTGGGGGTCGGCGCCCGGGGCGCGGCCCGGCGCTTGGCGTCGTGGCCACCTGAGGAGAACGTGGTGACCGCGGACGAGTACGAGGCGCTGGGCGAGGAGAAGGCCCCCGGGGGCAACGACTCGGCGGCCCGCGGTAAGGTCACTCCTGCGCGCTCGTCTCGGCGGCCCGCGATCCGGCGGCATCGCCGTAGCAGCGTCTTGCGCGCTCGGGTTTGGCCCCTTCCCGCCCGCCTGAGGCCGCGCATCAAAAGGGTCTCTCATGCGTAGGGTCACACGCGCATGTGTCGCCGCGCCGTTTGTTCCGACGCGCGGCCTTGCGTCTCGGGGAGGGCGTCGCGGCCACCAGGGCAAGCGCCGCCTCGGGCGCGGGGGGTTTACCGTGGGCGTGCCGTGGTGCCGGTGTCGTCTGCTTGGGGTGCGGGGCCCAGGGCTTGCCGCGGGTTTGCCGTGGTGTCGGCGCCGTCCACTTGGGCGCGTCGGTAACAAAGTGCGCGGCGACATGTAGCCGAACCGAACGATGGGATGCAGTATTCGGACGCTTTAGTCGCCTCTTGGCGGTCCTTTCGCCTCGGGACGCCTTCTAGCAACTCCGCCTCGGCGACGGCGCGCTGGGGGGGCCTAGAGCGTCCCGAGCGGCCGCCACAGAGCCACCACCCGAAGGCCAACGACCCAGACATCCGGCGCTCCATTGTTTTTCTGATGCGTGGGCTCGACAAGAAAAAACGGTGTCAACAGAAACGTTCGGAGCTCCGCCCGGATTTCTTGGACAGGCGCTGGGCTCCCCCCCTCCCTGGCGCGCGAAGGAGCCTCGAAAGCTCATGATGGCGTGTGCCGTCTTTGTTTCCCCAAGGCATCCAGTGCCCCAATTTTTTCGCTGCGCAGTTCCCCGGCAGCCTGGACAGCTCTATAAGGCCGACTTGACGCTCCCCAGGCCTGCTGAGGGCCCCTGGAGGCCGAAAACCTACCCACACTGGCCGCTCTCATGTTTGGCAGCGCCGCGGACCTCTGGGCACAGGGCAGGGGCAGAGCTGGGCTCAGGGGGGGAGTGCACCGACCCCCACCGCCCACTCGTCTCCGAGGGGGGGTCCGGTGGCCCACCCCGCCCGGGAGCGCGCGGGGTCCTGCCGTCGAGGGCCCGTCGCCCTTCCACGGGCGATGCATCGCCGGTTCCGGAGCAGCGCCCCCGCTCCCCAGTCCTGAGCCACTGGGCGACGAGATCTGTATCTACGCATCCCCCACTTCCCGCTGGCCATGCCATCCTGGGGCGGCGCAGATGCCTCGCTGGCCACGACGGCGGGGGCGTACACACGCAGGGGGGGACTGCCCGAGGGGCAGGGCCTCGTCGCCCCGAGCCCGTCCTCCCTCGTCGCTCCCCCCTCCGCAGGTGGCAGAGCTCGTCGCCGACCTGTGCCCCGAGCTGTCGTAGCCACCGGGCGGCGGACGCGGCCGCTCCTTCCTCCCCCTCGTGCCCTCTGGCGATCCTCCGCCTCGTGCCGCTCCGCTGTGCCAAGGGAGGACCCGCTTCCGTGCGCGGCTGCTCCTTCATCCCGAGGCCTCTGGCCATCCTCCACCTCATGCCGCTCCGCTGTGCCAAGGGAGGACTCCCTTCGGCGACTGCAGCCCTGGACGCTTCGCGCAATCATCCCCACCAGCCCATCCAGCAAAGATGCCCAGGCGAGCTGAATGGGAGTGCTCGGTGGAGCAAAGAGGGGCGGAAGCCGCCACACCGAAGGTTTGGATCAGGCTGCGCAGGCCCAGGCGTGAGCCATACACGTGTTTGCGGCCCTGCCGAGTGAGGGGGAGGAGGAGGCGGAGGGGGAGGAGGAGCAGGAGGAGGAGGAGGAAGACGAGGAGGAGCATGAGAAGGAGGAGGAGGAGCAGGAGGAGGAGGAGGAACACAGGAGGACCAGGAACATGAGAAGGAGGAGGAGGAACATGAGGAGGAGGAGGAGGAGGAGGTACAGAGGAGGAGGAGGAGGAGCAGGAGGAGGAGGAGGAGGAGGAGGAGGAGGGGGAGGAGGAGGAGGAGGAGGAAGGAGGAGGAGGAATCCGAGCAGAACGAATATGAGTTTAACGCAGAGCGGTCCCACTCAGCTTCTGTGCAATCCTAGATGGGACGATGATGACGATGATGATGATGATGATGATGATGATGATGATGATGATGATGATGATGATGATGATGATGATGATGATGACGTGATGACGTGATGACGATGACGATGACGATGACGATGACGATGACGACGATAACGATGATGATGATGCTGATGATGATGTTGACGATGATGATGACGATGATGCTGATGAGGGTGGTAATGATGATGATGACGATGATGATGATTGAAATGATGATGATGAAGATGATGATGACGGTGATGATGACGACGATGATGATTATGACGTTGGTGATGATGATGCTGATGATGCTTATCATGATGCTGTTGAGGGTGGTAATTATGATGCCGATGACGATTACGATGACGATGACGATGACGCTGGTGATGATGACGCTGCTTCAGCTGCT